CACTGTTCTTCCGGGAGGATGTTGTTGGCTTCGCAGAAGGCGCTTAGACGGTTGGTGATGGTCTTGATGGGGACCTTGCCTACGTGAGATAGTAGCGAAATCCCCCTGTAGTTGTTACAGTTGGACCGGTCACCCTTCTTGTACAGCACCTTGATGGTTGCATCCTTCCACTCTCGCGGAATATCTCCTCCGTTCCACACCTTGACGAGGATGGTATGGAGGTGTCCCAGGATGAAGGGTTCGTCGTCATCGATCTTGAGCAACTCGGCAGGGAGGGAGTCATGGCCGGGTGCCTTCCAGTTCTTGAGGCCTTTCGTTGTCCGTACTCCCGTACTGATTCAACAATCGACGCGGTCGATTCCCGTGGTCGCACGCTAACTTGCCCTAAAAAGGCACACTCAAATAAACTGGCCCCGAGGGGTTCGCAAGTCAAGAGAAATCAACGACAGATATTCTGGAGTCCTCCACTCCCTCTGCGCGCTATACGAGGAAACAACTGGAGGAGTGGCCAAAATCGGATACACCCGGCCCCAATCCGGCCATTATCGGGTACACATGTTTTTCACAGTCGGCAGCGCCCTCCTGGCGCCATCTGATTGGCCGACGCCCGCCCCTACCCCGTCCTGACCCGATTCCCACCGGGTGCACCCGATCTTGGCTACTCACCCCCTGGAGGGGTACCCGATCTCACTCTCGCCTACCCGAAAATGGCTGGGCTTTTCGACCAACAGACCACCAGCAGACGACCCTCACGAACACACGTCACCAACACCCCGCACTCGAGTTCCGACGCTTCCGACGGCGGGCGGAGGCGGACCTAACGCGGCTAACGCGGCGGAACTCTCATTTGAAGTGGATCATCAGTGGATCTCTCTTCTGCAACGCGGCGGAACTCTCGTTTGAAGTAGATCTCGCTCCAGCGAGTAGATCTCGCTGCTCAACTCACCAAATCTCTCGTGGTTAATCTCGGCACTCGTGCCTGAACGGTAGACTGGCATTGGCAGAAGAATATGAGCGATGAAGTAGAGAACACCGCGGTCCTCGCGCAAGGCGTGTGCTACTTCACCACCAGCCATCCCACAGGGGAGTTATCGTTGGATGTTGTTTGTTGCTGTTGTCTTCACATTAAAAACCATCCCGGTCTCTCTATCCAGTACCTCCTTCTGTCTCAATCTCTCCGTACTAATCCAGCACTTGACTCGGTCGATTTCCGTGGTCAAAGGCTAACGTACCTAGAAAAGGTATACAAAAAAAAATGGACCCCAACGGTTAGCAGAGCGATAAAATACAAGAAAACAAAAGAATCAGAAACAAATAAATAAATAAATAGTGGAACGTGCGCACCACCAGCCTATGCTGTCCCAGGGAAACCGTAGACATACAGGTAGCCTTTCGCTCACGCTATGGATTCATTGCTAATCTATCTTAGACTTATTTCTATAGATAGAGATGGATTTGTTGTGTGATATTAAAAAAAATATATATATATATATAGGGGCAGCCGTGCACCCGGTGGGAATAGGGTTAGGGCCGGGTAGGGGCGGGCGTCGGCCAATCAGATGGCGCCAGGAGGGCGCTGCCGACTGTGAAAAACAAGTGTACCCGATAATGGCCGGACTGGGGCCGGGTGTACCCGATTTTGGTCACTACTCTTTTTTTTTTTTCGAAAAGACCCGTTTACCGTTTACTTGTTCGCCTCCGTGCACGAGCGTTCCTTGCACGCTTTACCCTACTACCCTGCTGCTGAACGCGTTCAGTGGCAGCAAATGTCACTGTTGCCTTGCATTCCGAAACCCACGCCTCCTAGCGTTTCCCACGGGGATTCTGGTCGTGTGTGGATTTTGCGCGTAGTGTGGTGCGCACTAGGTGACATCCCTTCGTCGTGATTGAGACTCCCGACGGTTTCATTTCTTTTGATTATTGACAGAACGGAGCAGACACGACGCCACTGCATGTAGAACATCCCCAAGCTTGGTAAGGAAGCAATAGCAGTGACCAGGAGCAGGCGGACATGTTGTGTGCATCTAGGAGACATCGCACAGATCCACCCAGCCCAGTAGTCTACCGCATACTCTGTAGGTCATGAGCCAGAGGCCATTGTCGTATTCGGGCCGACGAAGAGAGGGGAGACGTCACAGGAGACACAGAATCATATAACGGCAGGGCACGATCACACAGACCCAGCAAGGCCAACCGGCCTAGAACGAGAGAGGCAACGCAAGCCTAATATTGGGGGGAGAGTCGGCTTCTAACACAGCGAACAGATATATCGACGGAACCGTCATCGGTAGACTACTACGCTAGGCAGTATTATTTGTGTAGCGTTATTATGGTGTCCAGCAGAATTGCTCCTACCGAGACTAGCGAAAACATGGCCGCATCAATAGAGGGTGGTGATGGAGACAATAAGACCTCGGCCACCACGGTGGAGAAGAAGAGGCAGAGCGGTAGCGGCTGGGCAAAAAAATGTTCACATTCGTCACAGGCAAATGACGCTCATCATGGAGGAGGGGGAAACATTGCCCAATCGAACGCCGCTGCGGCGTCCTCCGCCGGTCTTGCGACTTCTTGCTCGGAGGGAAGGGACAGAAAGCACCACCGCCGACGCCACCGTCATCGTCACGGGTCCAAGGGTGCTACAGGGGTCAAAGCCAACAAGCACAACACCCACGGCGCGGACACAGCCTCGGATACGGAGGCTGGAGGACAAGAGGACAAGCTCAAGCTGCTCGTGGAGTTCATACCCTATGTGGGACTCGGCGACGCCACGCGAGACAACATGGTGCGTAAGAGCTGGTCGTTGTTCGTTTTCATTCGCTCTCCATCACGCTCAAGTTTGAAATAGTAACACTACCGTAGATAGATGTATAGATACTTCACTAAATGGCTGTACGTAGTCGTGAGCTCATGATTGTCTTCGTCGGATCCGTACTTGACACCACAAACTTGCGAAGTGCGCATCACCCGTGGGTATAACTAAGAACACCCCGCGTGAGTCCTCAATCCATAACCCACGACCAACTATACTGTAACCAGGTACGCTCCATACTCAGTGCTGCCGACGCGGAGGAACTTGCTGGAAGGGACGACTATGGCAACACACTCCTCATCCTCGCTTGTCAGTACCGGTGCAAGGCCCTCGTTCCACTCATCTTGGCGAGGGGCGGCGGCGCCATTGACGTTGACGCGGTCAACTCTGAGGGTGCTTGCGCGCTGCACTTTGCATGCTATAAGGATAGCGTTTGTGCGCAGACGGCCGTGCTATTGTTAGAGCGCGGGGCTGAACCCGAGGTTGTGGAAAAAACCTACGGGTGAGCTCATTGCTACTCTCGTCTTCATATCCCACACCATTCCGGTCTCTACGCAATTGTACCTTCGCGATACGTGACCTTAGCCAGTCAGAAGGGAGAGTAGATCGCTATGGTCACGGACTACTTCATGTAGACAGCAAAACAAAATCTGACCCCCAGACCAGCACACGAACGTCCGTTCCTCGAACATCTTTTGTCTAGCCATTCTACCGCTACGGCAAAGTGTGGGGTTTTAAGCCCGAAGTCAAGGAGAACATTAACGTTAGGGTGATCTCGTGTTGTGTACGGTTTCACATCTGCCGTAGCTCGGAAATTATGGAAATGGAGTGAGCTACTGTCAGCAAGGACCAACCCTATGGTGCGGGTCTCCAGGGAAGTGAGAGGGTGCATCTTCCGGTCACTGACTGTTATGAACGTTGAAACGCCGCAAATTTCTTCAAAACTTCCGCGCGTATTTTTGAACCTCCGTCCCGAATAACTTGTCTATGATGTACGTTGCGCGACGGAACGACAATTCAAAAAGGTGCACGCCGCTGCACTATGCAGCGGGGGCAGGGGACGTGAACCTCTGCAAGCGGCTAATAGAGAAAGGGGCCAAGGTAAATACTTGGGATTTGTACCAGTACACCGCCGTCGACTACGCCAAGCAGTCCGGGGCGACAGACTGTGTGGACTATCTGGAGGAAGCTTCGGCACCCGGAGCTAGCTCCACAGGTAAGGAAAAGGCACAACAAGCGACCAGTAGTGGCACCCGCTGTTTCAGGCTCGAGCGCCGCTTAGTGCCGCTGTCCTTCCATCAATATTTTCTCGTCGTTAGTGTTGTCGTTGAGGCGACGTGGCGGGAATGGAAGGGATCTCGGAATCCCCCATTTCGTTTCCACGGGTATCAAGCCGTGGCGGTTTTCTTCCTGGATCCTGTGATTTTCGTGGATTGGTCTCAGTACGACCACAACAATGATTGCTCTTGTGGACGCCAACAAGTTGCACAGTACAGCAGACAATGACGGCAACTGGGTCTTCGAGAGTATGAGGGTTTAAGGTCCAGCATTCGAGGAATGATACATAACTAATTTGGGGTGATGGGGAGCTCACACAGCTAGTTTTTGCTCCTGCTGTAGATACGGCGTGAAAAAAAACAGTTGCTACGATAACCGCATCCCAATGATATGTGCTCTGTGGCTGCTGAAACGGGTCCATACTTCTCTTCTTCAACGAAACCAACGCAGATACGTTCCTCGGTCGCCAAACCTACTGGCCTGTCCACCCGTCCGTTCGTCCGTCTAAAACAAATAGCCACCATCAAGTTCTCCACCGGGCGTGGGGGGATCGTGACGAGCTCGGGGGTAGAGGCATCGTCGACCAGTTTCGTCCGCGAAGACAGCTTCGACACCGTAGACGGCGACGACTTTCGCCCACAAGTGAATACCACTGGTGCTATTGCCACTGGGTGGCTGGGAATGGTGGGCCGGCAGCCGAGCGCCTTCCACGAAGGCTTCGAAACGGGAGGGGAGGACGACGGGGAGGGCTTCTGGGGGAGGCAGTGCGACCCTGATTCCGGGATGGCCTACTACCTGAACGAAAAGGTGGTTGTAGGTGCTCGTTCGCATCTCTAATCGAGTCATGTTTATGTGACGTTTGGTCGTTAACAGTTTGCCGGGTGGAGAGGTGGCAACGGGGAGTGTGATGCGACCCGGCGTTTACGACTGTTTTCATTCCGGAGTCAACAATGGGAGGTTGTTTTCTGGAGTATTTATGTCCTTTCAAAACTGCATCCAAGGTATCGAGGGGTTCATGTCGGTTGGTAGGAATCGGTTGCTTACATAGGAATTGGTTGTGGTTCAGTTCATTGTCTAGTCTACGACAAGATTTGTGGTGTTGTCGTTGTGCGGCTGCTGCTTGCCACGGTCCTCTCCCTTCGAGAGTGTTTGAATGGTTCAGGTCAACATTGGAAAACGACTAGTAAGTCCAGGATCGTCGAGTTGTTCCGATTCCTCATTTTCCTTCGTGTGGCGAAGCAACATCTGTACCTTGTTTTGATCTAGCAGACTGGAGAGAGCATGTGGGAGAAGGACCTGCTGGCGCAGGCGCAGGCTCTCCGCAAGGAGGCTGGCGACGAGAATCCCTCGCCACACCTGCAGCAGTGGCTGAGGCAGCAGACGCACAAGGCGCGCTTGATCGCCTTCCTGGGGCGGCATGACCCCCTCAAACTCATGCAGGTGGGATGCAGTTGTTGCACATGTTGTGCTGCTGCTGGTGTTGTAGTTGCTTGCGTTGCTTATTGCGAAAATCAGTTTCCATCAATGATGATTCCGCATGCCAGATGCAACGGTGATCTTGATTCGATACAGACGGCTCCCAACATAAGGTTAGGTAATACACGTAGCTCGCATGCGTACACACCGTGCTCTCCGCCGGTAGAGTATCCATGTTTATCATTGATGGGGGTGTCCCACGGCGGGGGAGACCAGCCGACCAGAAGAGACAGATGTATAGTATTCCTGTGACGATCTCGACGATTGTGCAGCACCTTCTTACCATAGTACCCGATGACAACGCCCATGGTCATTTGGACGCCTCCCCCACAATAGTCATCGGTGAAGCACAGAAACCATGAGAGTGCTCCGTTTTCTTACCCCCCTATCATTGAGAGTGCCCCCGACGCGGTAATCTTTTGCGCCAATTTTATGTTTGGTCTCCTCCGGAACGTTGACAACATAATACGAAACACGCGGTCCGGCAACGCTGCTGCTGCTGTCGAGTTCTTCTCGTTGTAGTTGCTGTTGTTGCTGGCCGTAGTCTTATTCAAAACGCTTCCACCTATTGAAGCCAAACGTTATGTTCTTCCCGATACCCCTGCCGATGAATGTACGAGTTGTGGGTCTGTCCTTGCTCAGCGCCAAAACGTCGTTTGATGCGGCAAGACTCAACAAGCATAGAGCGATATGCATCGGTCCTGCTTATTGATTACGCTAGCGCAAGACGGAGAAGTAGAGACCACACCCCCCAGGGTTGTTCAAGAAGAGACAAACGGCTTTCATCTCGGGTTTGTTGCTCCTGTGTTGTATTTTGCTCCGCAACCTTCGACAAAGCTCCGAGGGTTGTTTTAACCCAAAGAATGAGTAGGCACGCACGCCACCGGGACATTCTCAGGGGATTTTCCAACGGTATCTAAATCGGAGTGACTCAACGGCAACTTTTCAACGCACGACGTCGTCTTCGTTAAGGTGGACAACATATTGAAGCGGCGATTAGGCGACGAGGAGACCCTGTTCAATGAGCTCGCCAACCAGTACTCCGCCCAAGAAGATCCCACCGTCACCGCGCTCGTGAGAACACCTTCAAGCAACCGTCACGTGCACATGACTGCTTCAAAGATAGGACGAACGCGTTAGAAATTATGGTATCGACTACCCGGAGAAACGTGCGCTGGCTCACCGTTGGTTGGGGAAGGGTGTTGGTTGAGAAAGAGCACGTCTCTACCCTCTCTACCCCCAGTTTCCTAAACACAAACAAGCATGGTTGCGTTTTGCTGGAAGTACGGTAGACGAAGTGAACTTTCTGTATGCGGGTCAGCCAGTACTTGGCAGAGGAAGAGCTCGCGGTTCCCGCCTCGTGAGAAAATCCAAGGCTGTCAAGAATTACTTCATCACTGTTGAACATCTAGGCGTGTCATGTTTCACTCTACCTCGGCACAAACGCGAGACGTCATGCCATCGCATGCGGGTGTTCGTAGACCTCTTTCGCGATTGATTTGAAACTCTTCGCCAGGGCCGTCCTGCAGAGCACCATCTTCTGGCTCCTATCAATTATCGTTGTGCCTATTTTTGGGTGTCAGATCGAAGATCGACAAAGCACTGACTCCCCTTCCTGCAAGGCCGTCAGTCGCAAATGGCCACGGCACAATTCGAGAAGTTTCTGCCATCACAGAAACCGTCGCCCCTGCGACAAGCCATATTTGGTTTGCTCCAACACCGGTATGGTTGCGTGAGGTCTCTTCCCGCCGCCGTTCATTGTCGACTTGTTCTATTGCTATATTTGACATCCATCTGCACGGCGACAAACTTCTGATCTCCAATGCTTCGTGCGGGTTTCCTGTGCAGGCCGTAACTATTATATCATCCCCGTCTCCGCTGCGCAACTCACGCAGGTCGAGGGGGCGGCGAGAGGATTCCGCGACCACAAGGTCGCCACCGCTGCCCCTTCCCCACCAATCCCATCCACACCTACCAACAACAACAATGACTCATCATCATCCTCGCCACCGCTTTCACCATCCAAAGACACATCAGCAGTAGCGGTAGCAATAGACTCGCTGCTCGTCGGGGGGGGAGCGGGAAGGCTGGCAGGCGGGGGAGGGAGACCGCCAACTGCTCCGGTACAGAAGCCGGGGATGCGGACGGGGGCAAGAACGTCCACTACACTGCAGTCTACCCGGAGCGCGAAGGAGCTGGTGGGGACTGCCAGCTCGGGCAAGGTGAAGGCGTTTCACCTACAGGGCGGACTGGTACACATTTGCAAAGGACCCTCAGATTGCCTGTCCAACTACCCGAACAAGTGCTGGTCGCTTGTGTTCTCGTTGACACGTGGCATAAGGTAGTGCTCCTCTACGGGCACATGGCGAGAAATTTTTCCGAGCATTCTCATTTCTCCCCAGCACTATTATAAGGTACACTTTTTCCTTGGTTGACGTCTGTTGTTGTCCACTCTACCGCACCATCCACGATGGTGCACATGTAGGCAAAGTGACTTGACAGGTTTAGACCATGTTGGTCGAAGTGTTGTCCATGCCATTCGCCGCCCTCTTCGCTTGCATGGAGTTGGTGTGGAACAGAGCAGTGGCCAAACGCCGAGAACGAACTAACTTTGTCCGAAGGAACCATACCGCACGGAGAGGCGGTACTGCCGTCAAGCTAGAGAGTTGTTCGAGAACGTGACCCTCCGGTATTTCCTTCCGAAAAGTTGCACTCAGGCTCAAAACATTTGGTACTGAAAGGGTCCCCGTTCAGCGTTTTGCAACCTCTTCCTCAGCCGCTTGGTCTGTCGGAAGTTAGTTTGTTTTGTAGCACGCTCCATACAAACCGAAGGAAGAACTTCCCCCTCCGCTTCGCCTCCCCATTGTGGTGTCACCGCCCACCCCTGTGTTGAATACGCGGGGGGGTTTCTTGGTGTCTTGCAGCTGGTCCCGACGGCACCGGCCCAGCTGTCCGCTGAAGACTTGAAACATCTGCAGGAACAAGCTCAAAAGGTATGCTCCACCCGTATGGACTAGAACGGCTCCGTACAGTGTGTCTGTACCCACACACACGCTCACATGCACACAAGCCTTTGCAGTGACCAACTACTCCGTGTATGAGTGGCGCGTTGGTCGTCTCGATGCGATGCCGCTGCTGCATCTAGCACCCGCTATAAACGTTTCAAGCGGTGGCGTACAGTCTACATGCCGTAGCGCGATAAAACAAATTGATTGCCTGTCGGCATGTACCCTCGGTCGCGCTCTACGAAGCAGCAAGAATGCGTACCCCACTGCTAGGTCAACAACGATACCGCAACTATCCTGTTCGCACCTTCGACTTCCTTTTCTCTCCTCCGTTGTGGTTGCCGACGAAACTCGACGGCGCCCGAAAAACACTGCCAGCGTCTGGACGACGTGAAGGCAGCGCACGAAGAAACAATGGAGGCGGAACGCAAGCTGCACAGGGACAAGACAGCGGAGGGCGAGGGAACCATCGCCCGGATGGAACACGACCTCGAAGAGGCCGCCTCGGAGGAAGAGAGGTAGAGTACATTGATTTCATTAAGTACTAAGTTATGCTTGTTTCAGGACATAAATTTGGGTGGCTGTTAGAGAGATTTTGGTTTCATCCGCGACAGGGAAGAAAAGACGTGGCCGGTTGCGAGACCAACACCAACGACCACAGAGGTGCACCCGAGCGCATAGCCAGTGTCACTAGGAAGTCAAATTGTAGCCGATTTCATCACAATTCCAGCTATCTTGGAACCTTCTCCTCGATGTAGTAGCTTACCGATGTGTAGATGCTCGTCTAGCAACATGATGAAAAAGACCAGCCGGGGTGCCGTTCCTTGGAACAACGTAGAAAACGGTGAACTTGAGGAGGGAACAACTATTTCCGTCAAACCGGCCCATCGTGCAAGTTTGGCAACGGCATTCACCGCTCTAGGCATTTTCTCGCAACAACCCAGGCTACGGTCAAACATTAAGGAGCAGAGGCAGCTGGCGGAGACTCTAGAACGTCAGTTGCAAGAGAAGCTTGCGATTCAATCGGGGGAAGTGAAAGTCCTGTCTGAGGAAGCAGCGGCGTTGAGGAACGAGCTCAAGACAGTCGCAGAGGAAGCACAGGTACCGTGATACTTCTACGTAATGCTTTTATGTTACTTTATCCCATCTGGTTTTGCTTCCGAATGGGTATACGGTCGAAACCAAGAGCTGGTAAACCCTGTGTATCGCCTTCAGAGCGCGCTCAGGAACTTGGTGAGAGGGCGAGAAGGCAAACGCTTTGGTAGGGTGTGCCTTCGGTGTTTGTACACGTAGCGATTTCGAAACGCTTTGGAAGTTTGGCGTGTTCCCCAAAACTTCTCTCCGAGAGCGTGCAAACGATGGAGCCTACCACCTTCCCTCACAATATTCGGGTCCTCTATTGGGCGGGGTCCTTCTATAGGGCCGGTGGCCGAAGTTGGGCGGGTGATATTTCTTAGGACGGATATATTCACGGTTAAAAATTGTTTCACACATTGAGTAGGGCGGGTGCCCGCCATAGGGGGAGTAAATCGGCCTAGCACAAACCGCAAGAGGCGGAGAGATGGCACCCCCGCTGGATCAAATTCAAAGCTCGATTGCTCTACAACCAAGTGGGTGCTGAAAGAGGCCACTAGCACCCGCGAGGATACTTCGCTTAGCTTTAGTAGACGATACAGGGTGGGGTTAGGGTTGAGGGATAGGGTTAGGGTCAGGGATAGGGATACGAAACCCTCCTCCCTATTTTATAGATCTGCAATTTTTTCCTCCCGAACACGGTCCAAAGAGGCCATTTTCTACGGAAAGTCCTCGGCGAGACGATTCGAAAACCACCGATTTTGTTGTTGGCACAGGCTTGGTCGTGGGGCAATCGGACTTGGAAAATCGGTCTACGCAGGGTGCCATATCTCCGCCTCTTGCGGTACCCGCCTCATGGAGGAGGCCCACGACCGTATTCCTTTCGAGCGTTGGTTGTAGTTGCTAAGCCGGGCCAACCTTCTAAGTAGACTTTCTATTCGTCCTGTCTGACCTGCCCACAGGCGCTCTCCGACGTGGTAGACAGGGAACAGTCCGGGGCGGCCGCGGCGGCGGAATCGAGCCGCCGAGACATGGAAATGAAGGCCAAGGAGGAGTCCGATCTCGTACACGAGTGTCAGGTGCTGTCGTTATTACGTCTTCGTGGTGGTGTGTGTTTAGGGTGTCTGCCGTACTACTCTTGTGTTTTGCGCCCGAGGAAATGCCCAAAGGAGGGGGCTGTGACATCGCGCAAGAGTGCCCGGCGAGATGTGGCGAAAAGGGAGTTTGCGTTAGCAATGATGTCGAGAGCGAAGAGTTTCTATCGCCGTGACTGGTGCTTCTGTATTCCAGCGGGTGTTAAAAGGTTGTCGTACTCGTGTACGCTATTGAAGCGAGACACTTGCACCGTACCGTTCACCTCGCACATCGACATCTATCTTATTCCACTCAAGCCCATGCTGATACCCTCGGGTGTCAGTTCTGCATGCAGCGGTTGTAGCGGAGACAAGCTCCACGGACACCACGCGTTGGGCTTGAGAGTACTCTCTCGCTCCCTTAAGGCGGCGAACGGCTAAACCTTGTCGGCCCGAGCGCGTTAACACATCACACGATCCACGAATTCATTAGAGCCGCATCTAACCGCGCTCTCAAACCAGGCGTCGGTGGCGGCGGCAAAGAGCGACGCGGAACGCGCCCGGCGCGAGTTCGCGGCGCGGCGCCAAGCGGAGCAGCAGAACATTTTGGACAGGCTGCGCGAGCAGCTCTCGCTCCTGCAAAAGGAGCTCGCCGCAGCCAAGGCCAAGGCCGCAACAGATATCAGTCGAGCACAGGTGATCTGTATGCATGCCCGTTCCGAGTTAGATGAGTTCGTCGTAGGGCCTGCCGCTACTGCGGTTGCGGCCTTTCCCCTATCGCACTCAGATGATACTGCAATTCGGCAAACGGTTAATCGTTCGAGTATGCGGTTGTGAGGTAGAGTATAGGGTGGTTCGGCAGAGTATACAGTGAGGTATTCTCCTACGAGACCAGTGTTCGGTTATGCGGTCGATAATGAGCCGACAGAGCACTCCGCCTATATTTATTCGACATGTATGCAAACTCGATCCGTACAACCAAGCTGAGATTCACCGTGGCGCGTTTGGTCGTTCCCATTCTACCGCAGAGTGACGCCGCCGCCGCAATAAGCAAAGCGAAAGCCACCGCCGCATTGGAGGCTACAGTGTCCGAGCAAAGAGAGAAGATGAGAGCTGAGCTAGAGAGGGCGACCCTCACAGCGGAACGGAACGGTTTGCTTCAGGGGCTTATAATGAGCGAGTCAGAGAGGAGAAAAAAGGTTCGTCGACATTTGTTGCTGTTATGGTGGTGGTGATTGATGTCGTGTGTTGTTCTTCCCCTTAGCGTCGTTGGTGTCGAGTTCGTAGCGCAGGAGAGATGTTGTACGGGTGAGCTTGGACTTCAAGGAGTTTGCTGGTTGGACAATGAAAGTGAATGACAACGAAGACGAGACAAGCCCATTTAAACAAATCAATGGTTCGCCCTCTTTCGTTCATGATATGGTACCGCCCTCATGGTTTGTGTCCATTTTTATTCTTGTTTGATGGTGTTGAGCTTGACTGCAACAAACTCCTGATGCCAACCGGATAGTTCCCCGTCAACCAGTCTCAACAGCGGGGGAAATAGGTATGGACAAACTCAACGCGAAACTCTCCGATGAATAAGCACAGTTTCGCATACCTCTCCAACGTCTCATAAAGACCGTGATTTTTAGGCGCAGAAAAAGTACTTCCAAGCGTACAAACCGTCCTAGCCATCCGCTTCCTGCCGTGCGCTCCTCCATACCTCGTGCTCGGTGCTGCAACTATTCGCCATCGCCACAACCCCCCCCCCTTCATGCTTCAATGATCCAAAGCTGCACAACAAGATGGAGGATCTCAAGGGCAAGATTCGAGTGTACGTTCGGGTCCGGCCTTTCAGCAGCAAGGAGAAGGCCCGCGGCTGTACGCAGGCGGTATCGGCGCAGGGCAAGTCTACCATAGCGGTGCAAGACCCCAGGGTAAAGGAGGAGAAGACGTTCGACTTCGATCAGGTACTACCAGGTTTTTCGCGGCTTGTACCCCCCCCGCATCATCCTTTCAGGCCGAAGGTGGAAAAAATAAACTCGTTTGCCAAACCCGTTCGCAGATTCGTCATGGGTCACCTACACGGCAGCGCACGGCGTATTATGAGCTCCTCGGTGTCTGCGGTGTGTACCATGGGTGCGGTCAGCAGAGATACCTGCTCTCCCTCGCGGCAAAAAGCAACCATTCCGCACGCACGCGTACACCCAACCCCATGCGGCATCAGGTGTGGTCGGGAACGGAGGAGCAGGGCAACAACCAAGTAAACATCTTCAAGGACACCGGCTACCTCGTTACGTCCACCGTCGACGGCTACAACGTCTGCATCTTCGCGTACGGCCAGGTATGAATGCAGAGAGCTAGTAGCAGCGTGGAGAGGAAGATCGTAAATGGAATCCTTGGAAAAGAGACCAGATAGGGAAATATGTTCGACATACTGGTACATAGGCGCAGTACGATTAGTCTGTGGTCGAGGAGTACTGACCGACAACAAATTACCAGCACGTGGCGAATCTTTCTGCGGAATATGGGTCGAACATACCGGTGTACGGATGGGCGATGTTCGAACAAGTTCAACGAATAGCTGGCGCGCGAACCAGTGTGACTATTTTTTGTATGTGATCCCCTTTGGTAGACATTGGGTCATTCTAGCGGCGTACGTGTCCCCTCACCCGCAGACGCAAATGTTCATGTGTAGCAGAAAACAGTATCCCTCCTACTTCGGTGAAGCAAGGCGTCAAAGTCTCTGTCGCTCTTCAGTCTGCCACGCGGGAGAGACGGAGACAAGCAAGAAAACCTAACCTGCAGAGCCGATTTTACCTACCCCCGCCTGACGCTGCAGTGTCGGTGTCTTCGTGGTTGCCGTCGATTGATGCCTATCAACGAAAATTCCGTTCACACGACAGACCGGGTCCGGCAAGACGTACACCATGTTCGGCGCGGGCGGGATCGGCGGCGGGGTTAACGCCGACGAAGGGGTGTGCGACGGGACCGCGGGGGTGACGCCTCGCGCGGTGTTGGAGCTCTTCCGCGTGCTCAAGGAAAGGGAGGGGCAGTACGAGTACAGCGTCAAGCTGTCCATGTTCGAGCTGTACCGAGACGGTCTGCGGGACCTGGTAAGTGCCGCTCGTGTCTGACTGTTTTGCACCTCTGCCTGTCGGTTTACTACGTGAAAGATAGGCGGTGTATCTAGTTTGTCCAAGAGAGTGGGCCGTGTTTGTAGATGGTGCAGCTTGCTGCCTTGTGTCGGGTCTCTGCCTAATCTTGATTCGGTACCAACATCCGAGCTGTTTGACAACGTGGCCTACTCGATTTGGTCGGCGGGCATCCTCCTGCGTTGTACCTAATGTGGACATACAGTCGAGAATCGCACATCGGTCTCTATTTGACGAATATAACATGCTGAGGCAACATTGATCGGCGTTCCGCGCTTCCGAAAAATTCATCCTCGTGTCGAAACCGTGTGAAAAACACGAAGCACAATTTGAGGAATACCCATTGGACATCATCTATCTACCACGTTGGCTCTTTCGGCGGTTAATGTACGCTCCTATCGGAACTCTTCTGAGAGTACAACTGTCCGAGAAACGAAACATGGTGATACAGTGTTCCTTCTGTATTATGTATATATATTATCCCATCGGTGTTCGACACCGTTTGTTCTTCTAATTACCCGGACGCCCGAACACCGACATTTATTTCGTTTGCGGCACCCGTAGCTCGCCAAGAAGGGGAGCCACACGAAGCTGGTCATCAAGCTGGCCGAACATAGCGGCACGGGCCTGGTGGTGGTAGAAGGGGGGGTTGAGAGAGAAGCGAACGACATCAAGACGATGATCGACGTCATTCAGGTGAAGGAAGGAGGGACTCCTCGCATCACACACAGTACCACCAATGAACACAGATCTTGAAATAATATGTTTCCCTGATGCTTTGCGGTAAACTCCAGGGCTGATCATAGCTGAGCCGGAGCAGAGAGAGAAGGGAAACACATTAATACCTAGAAGGTGGTTGCCCTGGGCGCAGGAAGTTACGACACCCATGGGTAGCGTACTGCACCAAGGTTGCCAAGATGCCATCCGTCCCTCTCCCCGCCCACGTACCCTTTTAGCGCCAGTCCGACAAACCGTAAGTACCGGAAGACGAGACCTGTGAATCGAGGTCCCCAACACAATGTCTTCGACGCGGATCTCTTCGTACACGTAAGGTCGCCTTAACGCCAGTACCGCATGCTACCTACAGCACTTTGTAGTCGACACCCCTTCGTGACGTAACGAGACTGAATTACCTGGCGGACAAAACGAAGCCAACCCAACCCCTCCCCTCCCATGTCTGACCCGCAGCTCGGGGCAGAGGGGCGTACGGTGTCCTCGACGCAGATGAACTCGGACAGCTCCCGGTCTCACCTCTTGTGCTCGATCGTGGTAACCTCTACCAACCGTCGAACGGGGTCTTCCCTCCGAGGGAAGCTCACGCTGGTCGACCTCGCGGGTTCAGAGCGGGTGGGAAAGTCCGGAGCCTCGGGGGATCAGCTCAAAGAGGCCCAGAGCATCAACAAGTCCCTCTCGGCGCTGGGCGACGTGATCGGGGCGCTGACGACGGGGGTCAAGCACATCCCCTACCGCAACCACGCGCTGACCATGATGATGAGCGACTCCCTGGGCGGGAACAGCAAGACTCTCATGTTTGTCTGCGCGTCCCCCGCAGACTACAACGCCTCCGAGACTCTCAACGCCCTCCAGTTCGCCGCACGGTGCAAGAGCGTTACTAACTCTACCGGGCCCGGCAGCGGAGGCGCGGCGGCGGCAGCGCAGGTGCAGGCACTGAGAAGGGAGCTGCAGAAGCTTAAAGGGGGAGACGGGGGGGGCAACGAGGCCGCGAAGAAGCCTACTCAGCTCGCCAGACCGTTGTAGCTTTAAAAAGGTCGATCGATGTATTTGTTTGGTTTCTCGGTCGGACCCAGGATAGTGAATTGCGATGAACGGCAAAGCCAAGCAGCTGTATGATATGAGTCATTTTTAGTATTCGAGCGTCAAGTGTGGAAACCATGCAGCCGTGGTTGTGAACGTCCAAGGAATCGCGATTTTGAAGCTCTGTTTGAGTTTAAACTTCGCCGGTCTTTCTATTGCAGACGTTGCGGATGGACATGCCCACATATGGCCCGTACATGCCTCATGCTACACCTATCTACATTTAGTCATCATAACCATCCGCAGGGAGGAGGCTTTGACGTTCCTATGCCTTCACTGCCGCAGCCGCGAAATGCACGTCGAACTTCAACGCTAACGTAGATCGCAAGATGTTCCTGCTTGTTACAGCGGCTGTGCTTCGCTTCGATTCGCTTCCCCGTGTTGTTGAGTCGCCTGACGTGTGCCTCCGACCTTAGGAAAGTCCTATCCACGAAGTATGAATATGAACACTGGAGTATCTGCTCAACAGGGTATCTTTCCATCTTATTCCTTGAATGGATACTTACCTATGTACTGCTGAATCGCCTTGATCTACGTCCTAAAATGCTACACTCCTATACTGGCGGATCCAAGAGTCGACACTCAGAGCATCAGTTTTTCCGCTTCACCAAGCAACAGTCGGGGTGGTTTGCGACAATTTTCGGCTTCATTTCTTACGTTCCTCTCCAGCGTTTCACATACACGTAGGGGTCAACAACCCATCTAAGAATACATGAAGAGCAAACTCCTCTCGGAACCCCTCAAGCACAGCTATCACCGAACTTAACAATACGCTAACCTCGTCATTGTTCCCATAATCTCCCCTTGTAAAGCAGATGAAAACATCCACGCACTCGCGCCCAGCGTCAACACAAACGCGCATTCGCTGCCGCAGCGTACGCTTCCCGTTTGTTCTCTAGCGCGCTCACCGCGGCTTTCAGCCGCAGCTCTTCCTCCTTTAGCTCCGCGAGCTCCTTCAGCGCCGCCGCCTGGGCAACCTTTTTCCGTTGTCGCTCCTCGTTCCGCTGTCGCCCTTCGAGGGCAGCAATGTTGGCTTTGACGAGCGACACATCGGCCTTGAACTGGAGGAGTTGGTATATATTCTGCGCGCCTGCTACTTCCTGTTTATAGTGAGAGGGCGTTATCGTCGTGTGTGCGATTGTAGTTGGGAACGCAGGGAGAAAGGACACAACGAAGAAGCACCTTCCTATGCGGACGTCAAAGGAGCGAATGCCAATCGAAAGCTGCGTTGGCGTCCGTGTTATGCCAGCGTGATTGTACGACGACCACATCAGCAAAGATTCATCAAACACCCTACATTGATGTTGCTGAGCGTGACTCATCTTCAGAACGTCAATGTAACCAACACGTCAGCATCAACCATCACAAAGGCCTGGTCTCAGCACAACACAACGTTGAAAACAAACCTGAGCAGGCTTCCCGCGGATATCCACCAGGTCTGGGCACGCTCCAGCCTTAAGGAGCGCCCGAACCGCTCTTTCGTGTCCGCGATGGCATGCGAGATACAAAGGCGTTCTCCCCTTGTCATCTTGGACGTTCGGATCGGCGGGAACTTGACGAGGCCGTGTGGGCGCGGCGCCTCTGGGAGCGGTTTCTCCCCCGGCTGGCTGTACCTCATTCTGCCGTGGTTAACGGCACAGCGTACAGACATGATCAGGTGGTAGAGCGATCGAACGCTGAGGTTGTCCCACGTGCCCTGTCTTGATGTTCTCGGCGTTGGAAGTTAGCTTTTGTCGGCGACGACATTTACTCATGTTACCAGCGTTGCGCAGCAACTCTAAAGTCCCTTGAGAAACGCTTTGCCCTACTGTTGTACTAATGGTACAGAGAGGGTACACTCATTTGGTGGATTTTGTCGAGGTTCTACCTGTCCCGCCACAAGTCTTGTGCCCTGGTGCATGGAGATAGAGTCGATGACATGGCTCATTCACCCGTTGTGCTTGTTTTCGACTTGAAACTCAGCCTAACGTGGAGCACATAATCACCTCATCATCCCCTTGGAGGAGCCGGCTAACGACTCTTGTGTTCCCGTGCTCCGCAGCGTCGTGAAGGGGTGTGAAGCCGCGCTCATCCACGGCATTTCGATCGTCTCCCTGAAAGCACAGTCTGTTCGACCCGTGCGCAAAAAAAAGGACAGAAAATCACAGAGGAAAGAAATAAGCACAAGGACCGGCGGTAGACCTTGCGTGATCATGCACCCCTGCACGGCCGAAAATGCGAATGATGGATGAGGGTTAGGGTTAGGGTTGTGGTAGTTCAAAACCCCCGAACGAGGGAGCCAAGCTGTACGAGAATGGGAAAATTCATGTACAAGATTCGTTTTGACTCCACCTGTCGACGAGGGACAGTTCCCCCCTCTCTGACGCAAAGTGAAGCGGCGTTCTCTTCCGCACGGCGGCCCTCGCCGCCCCGGACCCAACAGCTAGTTCGCCTCCCCCGCCACCGACGCCCGCAGACGAAAAGCTCAAGGGTGTGCCGTCTTCGTTGTGGGTGGCCGGTGACCTCGACGAAGGAGAAGCGTCTTCGTGCACCGGTTCCGGCGACTGCGGCGATCGCCGATGTCGCTGTCCGTCTAAGAACTGCACCACCAGGAGAGCGTTTTTTTTCTCGATGGAATGACGGCTGCAGCAGCGGCCATCGAGACAGGCCCCGTAGTCGATGTGCTCTTGCACGCTGCAGCCGTTTCCGAAGCCTTGCCAGGGGCGAAGGCGTGGCGGAGGCACCGATCTGTGGAATGAGGGGTCAGACGGTACCCAATAGAGAAATCATTTTTATCCAACCATGACGGCCAATAGCTTGTTCGCGCGTGCAGCCTTAGACAAAGCAGAAGCACCTACGTTTCCACCGCAAACATCAAGGACGATGCCAGCCTGCCAGGAGTGTGCATAGCACATGCAAAACCTCTTAACACCGTGATACACGAAATCATCATGCTGCAAACAGAGCGGCATCTACTATTACTTCCACAAAGTGGTACTCTAACTTGCTCCACTCGGAGTCTGCGAACGTGTCGATGCCGGTCCATGCCACAACTCCAGACCCTGCCGGTCGGCAAGCTGACGCCCCCGCCCCCGCCGGGTTGTAGTACTGTCCCGGGCCCAGAGTATCGAACACTTTTTGGCCGACCGGGAATCGGCTGGCCGGCGAGAACAGGGTCGTCGGTGCCGGGGCGCTGCTTCCGCCGATGTTGGGGTCGTAAATGGCACCCGGAGTGTCCCTGGACGCTCCCGGTACGGCGCTCTCGTCACCCGACGCCATACCTCCCCCGAAGAAACAACTTAATTTTTGCGGATTGTGCCAGGAGCAAGGTGGCGGTGGGCGACGGAACGTGATTGTATGCTTGGCGATAGTTGTCCTTGATCCTTTGGTGATGAGACGTTCCTTTCAAAACCCGGCGGGCACGACCACTTGTTTTATAGAATTATTTGTGCACGACGCAATTCGACTTTGGTCTGTCTCCGAAGAAGAGGCGAGGTGATGGAAGTTTTGGGAGCGTGAGGGTTAAGGCTGTGGACAGGAGGTTCCTGTTCCGCGACGTAAGATTGACCTTCGAATACGTAACCCTTAAAAACACGCACGTCACGAGCTCGTAGCTTGCAGGTTGAGTAGACGACGAAAAGGGTGTGGTTGCAGACAGGTTTCGTACATGGATAAAAGGGCGACAGCACCCGATCAGGAGCAGAATTCTGCCCGTACAGCCAACGCGAACCCTGCTCTGTACGAATTCGGAGTTTTGCGAGGTTCTCAGGAGCCATACCACGTTGCTTTGATAATGGCATTGGTCGTAGAATTGGTGGTTCACCTGGGTGCAGTACGCATGACCACCTTGTCGGCCAAGGCGATGTCGTATATTCCATCGCCAGCGGAGTGCTTGCTGCTGCCAACGTCCTTCGGGCGCGGGTTGTTGTACGACAGGCGCACTCCTGAGAAATAGAGGGCGCAGTGTTGGCACACCAACTAGATTGAAAACCCATACAACAGAACAAGCCCCACGATCACAGGAATATGGCGTGAAATGTGACGTAGAAGGCTTGTTCATTAATCTTTGAGGCCAGCATGAGAAAGTATGGTACCGCGCCAAAAATCGGGTCAGGAGATGCTCCTAAACACGTAGATACGCAGGTGCAATGTTCGCGAGCACTTCGGCAACAACGGGGTAGACTATATCCCGACCTTCGTCCAAAAAGAGAGTAATTGGTTCCTCCGACTTTTAAGACACCTGCAGTTCCCCACAAGAACATATCCAAGCGTATCTTTTACCATTTGAAGAAGAAGAGGAGCGAGCACCAGGTCGAGTCTCAGCCTTCACCAGCGGCTGTACCACGGCGTTGTGATAAGCTTTCAACAGGTCGTCGCCGCCACCGCCACCGGACACAGCGGCAAAGATTTGCGTTCCGCATCTCCCCCCGGCAAACGATGATGTCGGGGTGGAGTATGCCGCAGAATGGGACCTCACACGTCTGATACGAGTTTCCCTTCTGTTTGTGCCGTTCGCTCGCAACGGATTTGCAGTGCGGCAGCCCAGTTCGCAAGTCTGAAGATGTTTTATTATTGGCGAGGGTAAGCGCCAAGATGAGTGGGAACTTGTGTGCACTGGCCCACAACACATGTGTTTGACAATATATGCAGAGAGAAAATTGAGGGTATCCACTATGGATTGAAGCGGAATTTCGACCTTTGAGGATTGACGCCTACATAAAGTGACGGTTGAGGGTTGTGACGCGAAAAAATCGCACCGCGTGTGCCCGTTGGCACGTGGGAGGAAACAAAACAATAAATGGTGATGTAGAGTTGACGCCGGTCATGTCCACGACCCCGTGTTGGTTCAGGCTGCCACCCAGGGTTAACATGCTGAAGCGAAGACTCACAGTCCCAGGCTCCCAGGAGACTGGGTGTACCCCTCCGCCTCATCCCGCCGACCTCCCCTCTTTTGCCGCGGTGACTTTCCAGGCGTCAAACTGTTGTTGCTGATGAGGCAGGCAGCTGCTCGCTGAACTGCTGTGTACCGATGTCACTGCGGCAGCAGAGCACCGAACCCCGAATGGGGGCGGGCGAGATGCACCTTCTGACCGGCCAAGTCTGTGTACCCTCCCTTACTGCTCTATCTGTGCTCCCTTCGAGGGCGGGACTCCCCCGATTACTGTTCGTGATAGTTACTGCTGTGTGTGTCGACAAAGTGACGTAGAACAACTTGATTGGACAGTTTGCATTGCGGGACTGTCTGCGTTGAAGATCGTTGAGTAGCCACATATTATCAGAACAGCAAGGAGAGCTCTGTGGGAATGTTCTTCGTGGATGGTGCATTACCCCGAGTGTGTTTCTTGTGGATAGTGCATCAGTCAGAGGATTCATGGTGCGTTGTCAAGTACGTTAGCCCCTGTCTGTTGAGTCTTTGTGTTCCGATATCATTGTGTTCTGCTTTTGTGCGTTGGTCGAGCGACACGGGTGGTGGCTGCGGTGCTGCTGTGCTGTGGTGCTCCCCACCCTTGCTCTTTTGACCTCTTCTCCTGGTCCAAGGTCTTAACAATAAAATATCTTTTCCCCAGAAGCCACGAGTTTACCAACAATTACTGCCTAAACCCCTTTTTGCTGCTGAAAGCCCGTGCGCAATCCCGACGGCGCACCTACCGAACGCGCGGGCCGAACACGCGAGCCCGGCCACTTGACCGCCGTGAGGACTCGCCGAGACGTGTTTGTGCAGGACCGCTAGGAGCAATCAGTAGGCATGGTCAATGTGGTCGCTGCTGCTCCTTTCGTGATTTGGTGACGGTAACAGAGCACAGAGCAAGCGTGTGTGTGCCAGTCTGGCGATATTTGAAGTGTCAATCTTTTCGCGTCGCTTCAAGTTTTGACGTTTCCTCACAAAAATTTACTGGTACTTCATTCGGTACGAACAAACCCCTCTGTGTGTGGTCGAAGATGGACTGCGTCTCTGTACAAGCCCAACATGCCACCATGCACAACATACTACTGCTGCCGTTCACCTGTCGCCGTCCTTCCACGTCTACCTGTCCATGACACATGCTGCCACTTGATGCGACAACATCTGGGAACAACACGGACACAGGGAGTACCCCACACGCGCAACCTCTCATTCCTCCCTTGTCAAACACAAATGATGTAGCATGCATGAACTGATAAACAACTCTGTCTTTACTTATGGTCCGCGCTGCCCACAAATGGGAGAGATAGCCATACCTCCTGCCTACACATGGACGAGAGAGGTGAACATACCCATTGCATTTAACACACACCCACATGTCGGTGATGAAACCTCATCAACCACACGCCTCTATCGGCGACCACGTCATCAGGAGGCAATGATGAGAAAATGTTCTCCCGTGCCCTTCGCACATTTAACGACATGAAATTACACAACATAACATATATGAGACACACAAGACAGCTACCAAACTGATTTTCTGAGCCTGTCACCCGCAGGGGAGTTGTCCCTATAGGCTGTCTAGGAAATCGTAGACATACAGGTAGTTTTCTCTGACGCTAT